GGTGGGTGGGGGGGATGGGGCCCTAGAGCGGGGGCAAAGAGATATTGGGTGTATTGCCAAGGTGGTTTGGTCCCCGGGCCCCGCCCGCTGTCCCCAACGGCCGCCTTTCCCCTCTACCTCCCAGCCGTCCCTAGCCATTCATAATCCTGCAGGTGACTCCGCGCACACATGCACACACACACACACACACGCACCCACACACACACACTTCACCTCTCCGCCAGTTGTCAGTTTGTTCGTTGCATTTTGTTCCATTTTCCCTCTACCCCTTCACCTCTCCTCTCCCGCTCCTCCCCTCCCCTCCCCGTTCGTGGTTCTTCTTTCCCTCCCCTCCCCTCCCCAGCTTGCCCCCGAGCTAGACGACTTCGTGGCCACCTTTGACGCGGACTACCACCGCTACGTGTCCCTGCTGGCCCTCATGGTGGAGCTGGAGGAGGAGATGGAGGCGGAGGGGGAGGCGGTGGCGGGGGGGGGGTATGCAGACGACGACAACGACACGGGCTCGCCTGATGGCGCGCTCCACCTCGCTGATGGCCGAAATCCGCCACCTGGCCCAGTTCTACGAGGAGCATGTGCGGCGGGACCTCAAGGTGGGTTTGAGCTCTCCTCATAATGGGGGCCAAGGGGGAGGCCAGGTGCTGACACAATGTGCAAGCAGTAAAGGGTCGCCTCCCTGACGCCGAAACTGCGGGTGCGTCTGTGTGTGGGGGGGGGGGGAAGGGGGGGGAAAGAAGAAAGATTGTGTTTTTGTGTCATTGAGTGAAGGGTTATTAACTGTTGCGTGTGTGAGGGGGGAGGGCGTTGGTGTGGATTAGGGAGGGAGGAGGCTAAGGGTAAACTGGCTGGAGGTCGAGAACAACATGTGGCAGGCAGCGGGAAGCAGGCGGAGTGTGAAAAGTAGTGTGTTTCGGTAGGCCCCGGTGCCTTCCCCCCCCCGGGGAGATGTGTTGTTTGCCAGCGGTGTGGTTCCTCTTGTGCTTTCCCCTCTTACCCCGCCTGGGTTGCAAGAGCAGCTGGTCACTGCCCTCATGGACGCGTTGTTTGCCGATAGTCATTTCGGAACCCGATGTACGACAGGAAGCCCTGGCGCAGCGTGAGGAGGAGCAATGGAGCCGGGACGTGAATGAGGTGGCGAAGCGGCTGTCGAGCGGAATGCGGCTGCAGCCATCAGCTGCTGCGTCGTGAAGCGGTGGTGCACGCGGCGCCGGCGCCGCAATGGAGCTCAGAGCAGCAACCAGGGCAGCGTCTCTCTCTCTCCCTCTCCCGCTTTTCCCCTTCCCTCCTCTCTCTCTCTCTCTCTCTCTCTCTCTTTCTCTCTCTTCGTGTAACACCTCGGTGGCCGCCGTCGGTCGCACGCACCGCCAGCGAGCCCGCATGTACGTACGTATCGTCAAGTGCACCTGGCACTGGCCGTGTGGACTGCCTGTGCGATTATTGTACCGAATCCTGAAGAATCTGGAAGACGAGATTCTGGATGATGATCAGGGGGATGATCACCCCTGATGGCAATGAACAACACGGCCCTTACTGGCCTATCCTGTGGACAGCTCGTCCGTCCTTTCGAAGTGTGCTATTATTTCCTGCTCGTGTACAAGAAAGAAATGGGACGGGGAGCAGCAAGTGGGAAAGGTAGGAGGTTCACTAAGCACCAGCGCCGAGGTGCCTCAGTTCATAACGTTGACTGTGCAAACATGCGTCAAGTAAAACCGGGGCGACAGCAGTACGTTGCGTGCACGGGGAGAGTTTTAACCAAAACATAGGGCAGGGCTGGGTTTCTTATCAGTAAGCTATGCGTGGAAGTATCTCGAGTTAGCTTTTGAAGATGCGCCTTGCCAAGGATGGCTGCCGGCGGGTGCTTTGCCCTATCGTTTTACGAATAGAGGCAGGCTGTCAGGGAATAGGTATGTTTCACCTTATGGTTTTGTTACAACGACAATCATAGCGAAATAGAATTATTTGCATGCTTCAGAAATGTCATAATCGTGCAGGCGATGCTCGCTGTGGCTCTCGTACACCGTCCTATCCCAGCGATTCGTGCCTCTTAGATTAGAGGGCTGCACGGTCTACCTCTAGAATATTATACTAAGCATCGCCTTTCATTATAAGAGTTTAACAATGCGCTAGATGCAAACCGCTCTTTCTTGCAAACTTACGGGGAGCAGCTTTAAGCTTTCTTGTGGCGGGTAGGGATACATGCGCTCGTTGTAGTATTATAGTTTGGCTTTCCGCGTTTACAATTATTGAAGCCTGAAGGTGTTTTGCATCTACAGGGCAGTCTTGCACGCCGGCTTTAATCGGAGTTGCCAGAGGCGCTGGCTCGAGGACTTTACAGCACTAGAACATAAGGTAATTGATAATGTGTAGCTGATTTTTCAAGGCAGCGGGCTAAAAGGTTGTGCGGGTAACATTTTCCTGTTGGGGCTGGCTCCCTGTGAGATATTCACGCGTCAAAAGTATTTCTCTCTGAAACATGGCTGCATTGATGAACTTGAATGGCTTCCACTGACCTTTTGTGCGAAAAGGAGCTAGTGTGCGCTTTCCAATTGATAGAAGGTTAGCGAACACACACTCTAAGTGCAATGCAAAAGATCTTAGGAGTCTGTGCTGAGCTGCCCTAATTTTGTCCTCATAATCTTATAGTGGGATCTTATAGCACACCGTTCGTGGCCCGCCATCATATGGCTGATTGCTGGCTAAGGTGTCATATGTCGCACCGTATCGCCTGCTTCGAAATACACGTTACCTCTATTTTCCACGTTCTAGGCTGTCCCAGCGAAATTCCAGGGTCCTAACTTGCCTTCGACGGCAACGTTCTCCCTCTTTATTCCTGCCGCGTCATATAACGTCATTCCCAGTTATGAAGGTTTCTCAATCCAAACGTTGTATGTTTTCTGGACAGCTGTTGCTTGCGCTGGCTCATTGGTAGTGCACAACAGGTACCGCAGTCACCATGGTCCATGGGCAGTTCCTCGCACCTACTCCGGTCCAACTGACACTACTCAACACGCGCTGGAACACACGCAGGGAGCCCTATAAAGATGAACGAAGCGGACTTCCGCGCCGCGACGGCCGACATGGGGGACACGGCCCTGTGGGACGTACGACGAGTTGCATTACAGTCGGCGCGCCGCGATGACGCCACCCCAGTTCGCTACTTCGAAGACGCCGTCACGGAGGCTCTTCGCTCTCTGCACCGCATCTCGCAAGAGTGCCTTTGGGACGAGCTGCAAAAGCACGAGCTGGGAAAGCGCACACTGAGGTCGCTGGCGGCGGAATACCTGGCGGCGGCGA